CTGGCTGGGAGGGGAAGGGAGGGAAAACAGACACGCTGTAGCACTCTTCCCTGCAGCCTCTGCCTCTCCCTGCTACTTATGCAGAGCTCTGCCAGGGGCTCTCAGAGGGATGGCCATGGGGCGATCCTTTCCCTGGTCTCCAACCTGTCTCTTTCTCCTTTGTTCTCCCCCTGGGAAAACTGCCCCCCTCTTTTAACCAAGTCTCTCAGCCAATCCCAGGCCAGGGCTCTTCCCTGTCCCTCTTTAGCTAACCTGTCTCATTCAAACCCTGCTAGGGTTACATCACCCCTCCCACTTCCAAGAGGGCTACTTCCAAAGCAGCTTCACTCGGCCTCAGGCCAAATGGTGTTCCTACTGGGACAAACTCTGTCTCTTTGCACTCTGTCCCTCTGCAGGGCAGCCCTTATTATTCCTTCAGGTGGGTCCATTTTTAATGCTGCTACATAAGTTAAAAACTTTGCATCAATGGGTCCTTTTCAGTTCTCATAAAATTATACAATTTTAAGAGCAATGGATATTTTTTATAGTAAGCTATTTTTCTTTTCCAAAGACTGTAACATACTCTTATAACTGTCAAAGATCATTATCTCCTGTTACCTGAAGTACAAATCCCATAACTTTTTCTTCTACATATGTTATGTAATACCATAATCAGGTTTATAGTACTGACTTCAGGTATATTATTTCCTAGGATCTTTCATGGTCAGTCTGAAGCAATCTCTTCCTGATTTAGTTCCAAACCAAAATAGAGGATTGAAAGAACAGCAGTAACCAGATAGGACTCAAATTCAGTTTTGCTAACATTCATAGTTCCTGTCCTTTCTCTGAGCAACATTAACATACACAGTTATAAAATCACCTGTTTAAACTACAACTTCCACCACTGCAGTGTCTTGCAAAATTGCATCAGTAGTGGATTTTGAGTCCGGTTTCTGTTAGTGTAAACAAATCCATAGGACCATATTCTTTTTGTAACCTGGAGCCTGCAACTGTAACTGGACCTCGATAATTCAGTATAAACTCATACACTAATCTGTACAGGCTCTGGCCTGCAGCTTTTGTACTTCATATAGGCAAAGGGTGCTGGCAGAAACAGATATACAAAGGGTGGAGTGGAATTCAGAGTAACACACCAGGTTGGTGGTAGAGCCAGGAATAAATATAGTAATATCTGATATAGTAATATCTGCTCCCATGCAGAGCCCTATCCATTCAGTCCCACTGCCTGTTAATAGATTCAGCGATGTCAGGGATTTACAGAAGCAGAAGATGTGGTGCATTGAACTGAGGCAAGACTTCGTATTCAAGGAACAATGAGAAAATAGCTTCCTGAGTACAGAAATTTTTGCTAGTTTGACTGTTTGCCTCAACATTTAAAGTTAACCAGCAATCCAAACAAGCAAACATGAAAAACTTAAACAATATTCAAATCCCTGCCTGACACTTCTACTCTTAGAAATCTAGGAAGGATTTACAAGGATCTCACCCCCAAATGTTTTATGACTATCTTAACACTATCATCCTTGTACAGGATCTGGAAGCTCCTGCCTTCAAAATACAATACAACATAAACCACTATTCCAGAACACACAATACGAAGTCATAAGTGACACTTCAGGAAAGTAAGTTTTGGATGTTCAATAAAAATGTATCGTCTGTTCTTGAGGTGGGCACATGTATGATGTTATTGGCACAATGTTGTCCATGACATTTTACAGAATTGTGGGGACTAGGTAAATTGGAATGTGAACTTTGAAAATAACAGAAGTTTGAACATTAAAAAAGACCGTTGTTATTTATTTATTTTTCAATTTAATGTAAATGCGGGGGAGTAGAAATTAAAACCATTACACTTCAAAGAAAACCATTTATATTTATTCTGAAATATCTAAATTATCCAAATTTAACATTTGCAGTGTTGACAAATTGCAAGATAAGATGGGTGTTCATCCACAGAATTCTCTCTCTCCCACATTAAATGCACCATCAAAAATGAAATTGCCAACACAGAATGGAAATACAAATAATGTAAGTAGATAAATATTCATGATAGTGTATCCTAAAGTGCAGTTAGGTGATTTTTTTGTCTGTGATTCAGTTTGACCATTTTCAGTTTTCTGTCAATATTTGAAAGACTGATAATTTTTGTGACACTACCTCCATTGTTCAGATACAGGTATTCATCTATTTTCAGCTTTATGCAGAAAGAAAAATAGACCTACAAAAAGAAATAGATGTGAATTTCACTCGTACTGCATTATGTAGCATTTCAACAAGGCTTTTGCTCTCAAGCCTTGATTTAGCAAAGCGTCTGCACATATGACTGAAGTTCAGCATGTGCTTAGGCCCTTCCTGTGAGCTACCAGACTAAGTAATAAATATGGATTCTAGGAGTGCACCGATAGAGATTTTGGGGGCCAATACAGATAGACAATTTTTAAGGAGGCATATCGGCCAATACCGATCCAATTTCTGATACAGCTGCATACACCTGGTAAATCTGTTGTGGTGGAAGGGGAGGGGGGAGGGAAGGGACTTGGGACCAGATCAATGTCCCCTGTGGTGAGGGGGGGAGCGGGGCAGGCGCTGCCCAGTCAGGACAGGGTGGGCACAGGATGGAGCTGTGGGGGGCAGCTCCCACCACGGTGTGCACCCCAGGAGGGCACGAGAGGTGGGGAGTGTATGCCCCCAGATCTACGCGGAGCAGGGCAGATGGACTGCAACTGCAGGCTGGAGCTGTGGCTGTGCCGGGCTCTTCTCAGCAGGGGCTGGGCTCAGGGTCGGCGGCAGTGGCACTGGGAGGGGGGCTATGGCAAAATTTGGGGTGGCTGCAGGCTCCCCTGTTGCCCCTCTCCCAATGTTGCTGCCACCTGCCCCAAGCCCTGCCCCCACTGAGAAGAGCCCGGTGCAGCCTCAGCTCCAGCCGGCAGCTGGAACCCATCTGCCCACCCCGCCCAGTCCCGTGTAGATCATGGGGCAAATGCCTCCCCCACCACCATGTCCTCCCAGGGTGTGCGCAGTGGCGGGAGCTGCCTCTCCCCTGCACCCCCAGATGAGCTATTGTTGCATAAATTGCTAATTTTGTCCCCTGGAGGCTAGTCCAATTCACCTCTAGAAGAGAGTCACACTTTTAGGCTGGGTCCAACTCTATTTTATTGCTTGCAAGCAGGCCGACAGAGGAGCTTGTTGCTCAAATCAGTGTCGACCCTAAACAAAGAGCGCGCGCGACTTTTATTGAGCTACCATTTTTTTCAGTTGACGTGTTACATTTTGATTGGTCATTTCAAAACAAAACCTGAGCAACCTATAAGACATGCGTAGTGGGCTATCCTGTACCATGTGGGTGGAAAATTACAGAATGCAGGGGTTGATACTAAAACAAGGAACAAAGAAACATAGAGAAAAGTATCTATTTTCGCTACACTATGGCTCTGTCCCCTGCTTTGCCCCGGCTGGGCAGCTTATGCCCTTTCCCTCTCATTCCCACCATCTCCTTCCACCACAACAGACTTACTAGCTGAACACAGCTCTTCAAGCTACCAGGCTGCGCTCCTCACTGCCTATGTGCCACGCTGCAGCTACACACACGCACAGGCATTTATCAGCAAAATTATCGGCCACATCGGGCTGATTTTTGATACAGCCAATTTTCTTTATAATGATGCTGATCTGATATCAGACTGATGTATTGATGCACCTTTAATGGATACTATGAAGCACTATAGTATGGATGTTTCTCTTTAAATTGGCTTTTTAATTGTGGTTATTTTATAACCTTTACATTTCAGTTCAGCTTTCAAGCAAAAAAACATCCCAATCCTTCTGAGGTGAAAAAAACATTTTGTTCTTCAAACTCAGGAACAGTCTCAGAGTCTTCTAAAAGTAGTGAAAAAGGGGATTTTTTTATCTGTAATAAAGAAAGAAAAAGTGAAATTGATCTCAGGTAACAAAAATATTTTTTTATGAGTCTGATGCTTCAAGGTACTGAGCATTTAATGGGATCTTGGCCTTTAAGGCAGGGGTAGCCAATGTTTTTGGACAGAGTGCTGAAAAAAAACACAATAACTACCTTGTAAGGTGATAGAGTGCCAGCATGCCAGAAAAACAAAACTGGGGTAGGGGGTACGTGGCAGGACACGCTGCATATTAACATAATTATCATAAATGCTTCTCTTTTTTTTTTACAGTAAATAGCAGATTTTCTAAAAATTCTAAACCTGGTGACAGTAAATAAAATTTCATATGCTACATGTGCACACAGAACCAGACACATGCATACATGCACACTACCAGACACATGCACGGATGCGGCCAAGCTGCTGGGCCACAGAACAAAGTCCAGCCCAACAATGCCCTGGGCCCACCACAGCCCCTGTGCTTCCCTGGGGAGCTGGCACCCAGGTTGCTGTTTGGCTCACCAAGGTCCCGGCCTATGAGCCAGCTGAAGGGGTGGTACTAGAAGGAGTTTGGGCGGGGGCCATGGCCACCCCAAAATTTGATTTAGCTCCCTCTCCCCAAATTTGCTTTAACTTCCCTCTCCCCAGTGTGGCTGCCACCTGCCCTACACAACTGAGCCTGCAAAAGTGTGGCACTCCCAGGTGGCGGTGGGGGAGGCTGGGCTTGGACTGGGGTGGGAAGTGCTGGAGGGGTGGCTATGGGGGGTGCTAAAATGAATCTTGGGGTGGCTGTAGCCCCCCTAGTGCTGCTCCTGTTGGCTCCAGACGCCAGCTGGGCTTTGTGCCAGCGGCTGCTGCTTGAACGCCTCTGGGCAGATAGTGGCTGAGGGGCCTGAGGTAGTCCAACCCTAGCGCCTACTCCACCATCCACTCTGAGGCATGCATGCAGTTGCTGCCAGTGTGGAACTACTGCCAGGGCTCCAGACACCCAGATCAGCTCCTCGCTGGTGGTGATTGCAACACATGCCTCAGGGCAGGGGCAGTGCAGCCCCGACCCCTCCACTGCTATTCACCCAGAGGTATGCATGTGTGTGCTTCCCCAGTCCCTTGGGGCCAAACCAGCTTCAGTGCAGCAGCCCTCCTCAGCGCCTGCCTGGCCCCTGAAGGGGAGCTGAGGGTGGGCAAGACTGGGGCCCAGGCAGGCCCGTGCAGCCACGACAGCTGTTCCTGCGGCCCAGGGGGCTCTCGTGGCTGGGCTCTTGCACCAGGGGCAGCTCTGCCCCACTTGCACTGTGCCCGGCATGCAGGGAGGCCAAGCCTGGAGCTGGGAACACCCTGGGCCTGGTGTCCTGCCCTGGCCAGGCAGCACATCCCCTTGCGGCCATCCCTGCAGAGCTGTGCAGGCCAGGCTGGGCCCCACCTTGGGTGCCACTGGGGGCCCCTACCTGCTGCAGCCTGAGCCAACGAAATCCTGAGGCATCTGTTCTTCCCACCCAGCCCCTGCCTTCCCATGGGGCCAGCCAAGCCGGCCTGCCTGCAGTGCGTCCCCCTGCACCTGAGTCTCTCTGTGCTGCCTGGACACTGCCCTGAGTGCGTGGCTCTGGTGCCCTGGTGCTGCCCCTGCCTGGGTGGGACAGGGTGTCCATCTGTTCAAGTCCCAGGCTTGGGCTTGCCCACCCACTGGGATCCTCCTGTGCAGCACCTGCCTGGGCCCTGGCCCTGCCTCCCTGCAGTTTCCCTCTAGAAACCAGGCTGGGCTGGATGGTGCAGCCTGGGGACAGGGTCCCTGCCTCTGTTCTCCTGACTCTGCCCCTGGTGCTTGCTGCAGTGCTGGAACCTGTGGCCGCTCCATGTTAAAAACGTATTTGTTTGGTTTTTTTAAACAATTTCCTCGCCTGCCTCCTGGAGTACTGAGGAGAATGTCTCCGTGTGCCACTAATTGGCACACATGCCGGGGGTTACCGATCCCTGCTTTAAGGCAAAACCATTCCATATGACAAAATACTTCATAAAGATTATGACTCCTTATTTTATTAGTTGTAATTAACTTTTCATATGAAGAAATGGAATTTAGAATTATTTGGTAATACAGCTGTTTCCTAGCTGCACACTGCGTAATTTCATAGGTTTTATATACTCTAAATAATGTAACTTTTTGATTTGCTTCATTTTTACTAGATATCTTCCAGATGATGAAGCCAATGATGTTAAGCCTTTTCTTGGAATATTTGATGGTATTTTCTAAAACATATAAAAACAAGATATATCGTAAATTCTGAAACATAAAACTCTCCTTTCCAGAATGAAACTCTTCAAATACAGTTACAAAATGTATTTAATAACTGTTCATTAATAGCCAACTTTGCTGCACAGGCTAGATAACAAAAACATTGCTAGCTAATTTACACAATTCCATGTATGTTTCTGTCTTTTTGAAAGTTATTTAAGCCTCTTTGTTAATATAACTTGCTGTTTTCAGGATTATAAATAAAAGTATTTGAAAGTACTTTCTTGAAGCCAGGATAGTTCTTAGGCACTTTTAAATAAGGTAAAATGAAATAAGAGCAAAGATGCTTCCTATAATGTGTATCTGCTTATATAAATACATATCTGAGTAACTGCAATGTTCTTTACTTACAAATTACCCATGATTTTTGTTTGATGATGTCTGTTAGCTAACCAAATTAAGGGTTACATAAAATATTAGCATTGTGAAAAATTCAAACAATAAAATTTATGAATACAATTTAATAGAATAAATATTTATTGTGCACTCTAATTGGAATTTGTAATGTATTAGCATTAACATTTTCTGTAGAATCTTCTTTGTAAGTATACTTCACAGTGTTCTACATGTCTGATTTAAAGACTTCATAAAGAATGTCCAGAAGCTACACTTGCTGGGGTGGATCCAGAGGGGGTGAAGTGGCACGCCTGCACCTACTTTTCCAACCATGCCACCAAAACAGCAGCCAGGGATTTACATCTCAAAGAAGGTAAGTATGTCCCCACTTCCTTCCCCTCTGGCCAATGCTGCTGCTGCTGTTCCTGGTGAGCAAGCCCTACCCCTCAGCCCAACTGGAGTGGGCAGGAGCTCATCTTACTCCCAGGACAGCACCTGGCAACAGCAGGCAGGAGGAGGAGGGGATGGGAGAGGAAGGGATGAAGAAGAAAAGGGAGTGAACATGTCTATGAGCATGGAGAGGGAACAGGAAGTGAGGAATGCTTACCTTCCTAGGGACTCAGGGCTGCAGGAGCGGCAGCTGAGAGTTTGTCTGCCCCAGTGTAGACAAGCAGGTGGAGGAAACTGGGAGTGGGGAGTGTAGCACCATACCCCACTTTACAAAATCCTAGGTCCACCTCCGTATATTTGGGTATTCATGCTGCTACTTAAACTCATAAAGTTGGCATTTATTTGACCATTCAAATCTAGTATCTGGATGGATATTCAAATCCAGTATCTGGATGCCTTTATATTTAGGGCACAACTTTATTTATTAATTTAACTCATCTGGAGACTACTGGCATAGTTTCATAGTTTCTAGGGTCGGAAGGGACCTG